AAAAGAAAATGAGTTGAACCGGAGGAGGAAGAGAGAAGCGAAGTCTAGACTCGAGATCAATGGTGCTTCGATCAACGGTTGGTGGTCAATCAGAGGCAAGGTGGCAACTGAGGTAAGGAGAAGAAAGAGAGAGAGAGACAGAGGGTTTGTTTTAGGGAGGACGGCAATGGCGACAGCAATAGCAACATGGTGGTAGAAGACAACGATCACAGGCCGTTGGCGGAGTGGTGGACGGCGACTGCATTGCCGATGGCAACGTGGTTGTGGTGGAATCAGAGATGAAAAGAGAGAGAGAGAGAGAGAGAGAGAGAGAGAGAAAGAAAGAGAGGGTTTGTTGTTTTGCTTTGTCTACCGTATAATGGGTAGACTGGTCTTTTTGTGTATGAGCTTGTTCTTTTGAACAAAAGAAAATAAGCACTTGGACCTTTAAACTTAGAAGATTTAATTTTGGACTTTTAGCTCGAGTACCTTTTTAATAATTTGTCAAACAAGTTTTCTATGTGGTCTCATGGTTTCGATTCAAGAAAATTCTATTACACACACTTTAAATAGTTTTTGATATTGGAGCATAATTTGACTCATCTTAGAATTCTAAAATTAATGACCAGTGAAATTTTTAGTAAATCCTTGGACTAATTTGAACTCGAGATCTTCAATTTTATTATTTTATACCTTGGAGTTCACACTCCAAAATAGTAGCATACCATGGTATGCATCTGCCTATCTATCTAAATTTTTCCTCCATTATATTATGTGTCAATTAATAAGAAATTATTTGCAGTGTGAATGGAATTATTAATTGAACAATTATAGTTCAACAATTAACTCAACAGAAAATAGATGATAGAAAACAAACAATTAACCTATTGGGGCCACGTGATGTAATATAAAAGAAGTTTGGGACAAATAACAGTGAAGGAGGGTAAGGGATCCCATAGTTTTATATCTATTGATTATAGCATTATTACGATGAAAATTAGAATTTAATTGTTAATATTTGACTAATAAGGACATTGTGTTTGGTAATCCAAATATGTTGTCCAAAAATGGTGCATTCTAATCCTTTCTATAATAGTATAGTCACCTTATCAATTCAAAAATTATCTAAAATTTTTATCTTGTAATTTAAATTTATTCTACACACAAATTCCACACTATATAAATTAATTTCCACCACACAATCATACACTCACAATTTTCTAGGTAGATTAGTCTGGGACCATAGACTTGGGGCTCGTTTGTCAACTACACATTTTAGTCAAAAAGTCACTATAAGTTGTCACATCACTCTCTCTACTTTTCTGCACATCTTTTCATAAAAAATTAAAAAATTACTAAAATAACATGTTTCCAAACAAGATCTTATTGTTTCTATAAAGATGTTAGCAACATAAAAAAAAAATGGATTTTTCTCTGTAGCTTAAAATATTACAAATACTCCATTGTTAGAATTTTTTATTTACTATAATTAATTGAAAAAATAAAATTCTAATTGTTATCCTATAAAACAATAAAATAGTAAAATTAAGACCACTAACTAGTATGGGTTGGTTTGGGAAGTGGGTTGACTTTTTAATTTTTTGGTTTTTTTGACTATTTTAGCTTGGGCTAAAAAGTTTGGTTTGTGAAGGGTTTTTTGGAAGAGTGTAATGATTATGGGTTGGATGTGATATTTTGTTTTTTTGTGCCTAAAATAGCCTATTTTCCCTTTTGTGACTAAAATAGCCAAAAAAGCCTACTTTAGTTCTTCCCAAACGGTGCCATATCAACTATCATACCAACTAAATACAATATTAGGTAGGATCCATGTTAAATGATGAAACCAACATGTATGTCTTATGTCTAAGATCTCGTTTGGCAACATTCAATTTTAGTTTAAAAGTCTAAAAGTTACTAAAAAAAAAAATTAAAAAATCAACAAACTATACAAAAAAAGTCAAAATTTTTCTTTTCTCTATACTTTTTGCACATTTTTTGTAAAAAATTAAAAAATATCCCGAATATATTAATATTTTTTACCTCATATTTTAACCAAAAAAATCAAAATATTACTAAAATAACATGTTCTCAATCCAGACATTAATTGGTATGTTTGTTATTTTAATTTGTGTTTGTAGTATTACTCATAATAAAATTATATGAATTAATAATTGAAATAAATTTCTATATCATTAAAAATGATTAATTAACTTAATAATTTATTAATAAAATAAATAATTTGTTATAAAATTAAAAATTTAAAACAAGAAGATATAATTTTGAAATTCACAAGTATTTTAACCAAGCTTGAAGGTACTGTTTTTTTTTTGTTTCTAAATGTCAACGGCATTCTATTCATAACAATAGGGGTTAATGGAGGTAGACTCCAGTACGCCTAGTTCTAGTGACAAATATCCACTTGCCTACCGTTACAATCAACGGTGCATGATAAACATGATACACATCTCTGGGCCCACTTTTTGGACTATTAAAAAAATAACGATCTTCTTACATGTATCAATTTAATGTATATATTAGTGTTATATTATTATTATTAACTCTACTTATTATATAAATTATAAATATTAAAAAAATTTAAAATTATATCACATCATTTATTAATATATTAATTTATATATATACTATTAGAGAACTGATCTGTAGCTCGAAAGAGCCCCCTCCGGAATTCCCCAAATCTGAAAAGAAAGAAGAAGGAAGAGGAAGAAGAAGAAGAAGAGAAGGAAGAAGAAGAAGAAGAAGAAGAAGAAGAAGAAGGAGGACTGGAGGGGCCAACATCAATCGGGAAGAAGAAGAAGAAGAAGAACTGGGTTGCGATGAACGGCCGATCGGCAATCGGCGATCGACAATGACCTAAACCCTCGATCGGCGACGGCCTCTTCCCCTCTCTTCTCTTTTTCTCTTTCTTTTTCAATCCCTCTCCCTCTCCCTCTCTGTGTTTCAGACTGGAGGAAAGAAAAAAAAAATAAAAACTGCCCAAAACGACATCGTTTTGGACAGTCAAGAGATTTGAGAGAGAAAAATTCGGAGGAAAAATTATTTTTGATATCATTATTCAAAAAATAATTCGATCATGCATGAAACAAACCCACCCACGTGTAGGCAGAGTCACCACGTGAACGGCGGTCGTTGACGCCAACATACGATACATAAATACGCCCACAGATTGTCTTTCTCCAATACACGCATCTTTGATCCCCCGATCAAATCTTCATTATTAGAGCGTGCTTGTAGATAATTATTATAAGAATAATGTCATAGTTCCAATTAATATGTTAACAGATGATATAGTATAATTTTAAAAATTTTAAGTAATTATAATTTGTATAATAGATGAGATCAGTAATAATGATATAATACTAGTTGATAATTAATAAATACATTAATTAGTACATGTAACACTATCGATATTATAAATACATGTTTAGTATTACTTATAAGAATAATGCTATATGCATAAATTGATATATCAATTATTATACTAACAGATGATATAATATAATTTTAAAATTTTTAAATATTTGTAATCAATATAATAAATGTGATCAATAATAATATTATAATATATGTTAGTACAGTATGATATATCAATTATTATACTAACAGATGATATAACATAATTTTAAATATTTTAAATATTTGTAATAAATATAATAAGTGTGATCAATAATAATATTATAATATATGTTAGTACAGTAATTGATATACTAATTAATACATACTTATAATTAATTTTTATGATATACTGCACCAGTCTCATTTTTTTGATATATGCATAAATTTCAATATAGCCTTTTCACTTTATTATTATTATTATTATTATTATTATTATTATTATTATTATTACCATGGGTAGAGCAATTATTGAGAGGTAAATTTGGAAATTTAAAAATATATAATTGCAATAATAATTTCTTAAAAAGTCTGATTTTGAAAAAATTGAATTATTATTTTGAGACGAAGGGAGTAAATCTGTTTGGTGTAATTCTTTGATAATCTATGAAAAAATAAAATATGTTTGGTTAAATAAATAAGGGGAAATAAATCACCTTATTTGGTTTTGATTGATTTTCTAAAAAATGGTTTTTTTTTCCACATCCCCTGTCAAGAACCGGTGAATGAGATTTTTATTTATTAGATTCAATTGCTAAATTTGAATTCTATTTCCTTATCTAGTACAGATGAGGATCCCCTGTCAAGAATTTATTTGCAATAATTTAAGCTTAAAGTTGAAATAAAATATCATTTGACAATGTATTGTTTAAAAAAATATATACATATATTTTATTGTCATTTTATTTCAATTTTAACCCCGTGTTATTAAATTATGCATTTTTTTGACAATTCGATTCACACATTTTAAGTTCGGAATATAGTGTTTCTATTATTACTAATTAATGTGCTAACTAGAATACCAATAGTTATGATATTATTATTGATCCCACTTATTATATAAATTACAAATATCAAAAAATATCTTAAATTATACCATATCATCAATTGATACATTAGTTAATACACTAATTGGTACAAATAATATTATTCTTACAAAAAAAAAACAAATATACTACATTTACATAATTTATTTCCTCACAAGCCCCCTTGAATGAGGTGACAATAATGCAAATTCTATCCCAATTGTGAATTAACTTTTAAAATTTTACTTTTATTGGAATAAATTGTATGAATGAAATATTTTTCTAAATAAAAAAAGGATAATAATATTATGTATTTGATCTCGTGTTTAATTATGTTTTTGGGGTTGTATGTTGTACAGGTTAATTCGAAAGGTAAAAACAGATATATACTAACCCAAAAGCCAGAAACAGCAATCCAATCTTGACGCCACAACAGACATTGTATAGTTCGATATTAGCTGGCACTGCCACCCCTTTCCCTCTCTTCAATACTCCTCTTCTCGATAATTCTCTCTCTCTCTCTCTCTCTCTCAAAACAACTATTTATAGCCCTCCTACTCTCTCTCTTTCTAGGCCTCCTCCACAACAACAACAACAAAAAGCGACAACTCTTCTCTCTCTCTCTCTCTCTCTCTCTCTCTCAAAAAACTCTATTTCTTTCTCCAAAAACTCTCATGCATACCCTTTGTGCATTCCAAACCCAACCATGGTCCCCAGAGATGGGAGACCATATTGGGATGGAGAGTTGCGTTGACCTCGAACAACCACCACAAGACGGCGAACAAGTGGTGGCGCAAGATGACGATGAGTGTAGTTGGCGGCGGCGGAATAAGCGGCGGTGGGAGGAGAGGAGGAGAGAGAAGGAATATCCGCCGCCGATAGCATCGCAGATGCCGTGGGTGATGAAGAGGTACTATACATCGGACGGTAGGCTGATCATCAATGAAGAGAAGGTGGCCCACCATCACTACTTCCGGGCCCACCGCTCCAACGGCCGCCTCACCCTCCAACTCGTCGCGTTTCACGACCACATCGATGACGTGGATCATGAGAGAGAAGACGAAGATGATAATAATAATAATAATAATAATAATGTGGAATCCAATCTGGATCTTGATCATCATTATAATGATAATAATAATGATGATGATGATGATGATGATGATTGTGGTGGTGGTGATGATGGTGATGAGATTGGGAAAGATCGGATGGTGGAGGAAGAAGCGGAAGCGGTGAAGATATGGTTTACGCCGTCGCCAACGGTGGTGATTGGTGGTGGCGGAGGAGGAGGAGCGGGGAAGTGCTATAGATATAGTAGTTTGAGATCAAATAATCACCCGTGTATGTTTGGAATGCCAGTACCTGCAATCAGACCTGTTCATATCTAGCATTTAGAGACTACTATTATGAATCATAGTATTTGGTTCTAGGTCACACCTTCATTATTCATTAGATTTATGCTGTTGTCTGGTTTTGAGTTTTGATTCATGCATGTTTCTTGGAGTTTTTGGGACCACATTGCCGGCATTAGGGTTTAGGATTTTTTTGGGATCAGTTTCATTTATTTATTTATTTTTGTTCATGCTCAGTGTTTATTCAGAGAGTTACATTTTTGTTAAGAAATAAGATTTTATTTATTTATTTATTTTATATTTTGGAAATCATATGAGATTTTCCTAGTTTCTGAAAAGTTGAACCATTTAGTCCTAAAAGTTTTCTTATGCTCCATTTAGTCCCATTTGCACATCAAATTTTAGTTTTTTTTTTTTTTTTTTTTTTTTTTTTTTTTTGCACGTATGGGATGCCACTGCTCAACTTGCCTTGCCTTGTGGGTTATGTTCATTTTGCCAGATGGCTTGCTCACACTATCTATCTAAAGGAGAGTTGTGCAACTTGTGAGAAATATTTTTCAGGAATATAGAATATTATTTATAATAAAAATTTAGTTGTTGAGATGCATTTTAAAAGTGGATTTCATTATACAAAACTGAATCTACACCATCTAATAGCAATCTGGATAAGTTTTTGGATATATATATTTTTTTAATCCATACAGTACAGTTGTCATCCAAAAATGAAATTGAACAGTAAATTTTATCTGGTGTGATTTGCACGAAATTTATACTATAATTTTAATATATTCTTTAACTTCTCCCAACGTTAGTTATTTTTTTTATTAATGAAAAAGAACAAAACTTAATACATTACACACATATATATATATATATATATATATTTTACAGAAAACACAAGGTTAATACATTATATTTTTTTATAAAAAAATATGAAACTTAATATATTACACATTTGACAATAAGTAAATTTAATAAAAAAATATTGAAATACAAAATAAATCTCAAAGAAATACAAAATAGATCCTAAAGAAATAAAGAGAACCGTCACATCCATAAAATCTCTACATAATAGAGAGGAGTTACTACAACAAACAAACAAATAAATAAAAATAAAACAATTATTTCTAAATAAACATTACTAATCACCTACGTTAGTTATTGCCGTCGCCATAATGTCGACCACAGTATAATCCACATAAAGAAGCCTATATTGTCTGGATTTTAACCCTATCATTTTTTACTATATTTGATAACAATTTTATTTTCTATATAGGTAAAATCCGACTGAGGCTTTTACCATAAGTAAAATTAATCACATGTCATAAATTTCTCCACTAAGATCAAAATCTGATTCCTCTAAAAATAGTGAAATATTATTTCACCAATGATAAGTGGTATAAAACTTAAAATTGTAACATCCTTTTTAGGCAAGTCTGATAGTTTTAAGTGAAAGTGATGTGTATTACGAATTCACCTGACATGAATTGACTAATTTATGAAAGTCAATATGACCCCGTAGAAGAAGTAATCACAAAAGTAATTGGACCCATAGGGTTTATTTGGGTCTCATTTTGATAATTCAAATCAATCAATATGTAAACCTTTTCAAGTAATTTATCTTTGCAAAGATTCACGTTAATTGGATACATATAGCCTCTCGATCAAATCATATTTTTGTCAATGGTGACAAAAATATTTTTTGATCAAGTACTTATCGGTATCCGATCAATGTAAATTTTTGCACAGATGAAATATTCGACGAGTTCTACATATTAAACGGTTCAAATTATCTAAATGAGACCCTTAATAGACCCTATGAGCTCAACAACACTGTCCAATCCTCAAGACCCTTGCCCTTTTCTTTAACCATAAACTTTTAGTTGTTAGTTTGTAACCAATGTATTATTTTTATGTTATAGAAATTTCTATGTACAATTCAATATATATATATAACACAATACAAAGACTTTGTTGGAAATAATGATTTTATAGACTTATTTTGGGCTAAGTTTGAACCCAAAATTGAATAGCCCCCAATCTTTTGGGATGAGTCCGAAAAGGTGACGTGTTCCTTGTCGCATGGCAAGTCACATAGTAAAGACAGTTCGTCAAAACCATTTATGAGTGAATGAGAACTTGACGTCGTTTTCGGGTTCATGAAATGGACATTTAAAGAATTAAATGTAAGTTTCCTTGAAATGGGTTGTCCCACATTGAAACTTTAAGAGAGCTTGTGTATGTATATAAGCTCTAGATTACAACACTTGGGTTGGGTCCGAAAGAACACCCCAAGTTTGTAGAAGGGAGGAATTATGGACAAAGTGAACCTTAGTCTAAACCACTACCACACGCGTGCGCCGCCGCCGTCCGGCTGAGCCATGTCGGGCGCGTGTGTGGGTTGTGGATCAGGTTGGTTCTAATATTAATTTATTTGAAATTTTCCAAATTCTTGTAGGAAATTATTTGAATTTAATTCAAATTTTGTGTCTGTGCCTCTTTCAAGATCAATTCCACAACAGATTAATCTGCCTAAAACAGATTTTGAAACTTTTTTTTGTACCGGACAAATTCTGTTTTACCAAACAGATTTAAATCTGCCTTGGCAGATTTGAACAGATTTTATCTGAGGTTTAACAGGTTTAAATGTTCAAACAGATTGGGAAAAATTACCCAGCAGTTCTGGACAGTTTTTATAACTGTTGCAGTTACAGATCTATCCAGTTTAAATTTGAATCTGTTCGAATTTGTGTTGCACATGTTCATTCAACTTTCAGGCCTGTTTGAGTCTGTCATGAAACCTATAAGATCATATTCATTTCCAGCAATTTTGAGGGCTGAAAAATATCCAAAAAAACTCTGAAATTCTCTTGGTTCCTTTCGGTTTTGCTCTTTGGTAGCATTGTTCTTCATATTTAATTTTTTTAGGAAAAAATTCTAAGAGTATAGAACACATGTTTGATTCGCCGTACAAATTGTCTTGGAGTGCGACTACAATTTGTGTAAATCATTATATCCTAGGAGATAGATGTCACTTAACCGTAAGCACCGTAACGGGGCGAATCTGTCTTAAGAACAGAGTGTCACATACTCAACTTGATCTTTTAATTATTTATTCGGTTCGGTAAAATAAATTCGGTACGTAATTTATTTTATTTGTTTGATTTGTTTCAAGTTATTTATTTTACACAGAATATCGTTCCAACAATCTTAAGACAGATTTGAATTATTTTGTTTATATAAAATTTTTCGTTTGTTTTCTTATCTCTTTCTTCTTCTTACAAAAATTATTTTCTGTGGTTTTACAAAATAATATTCTGGTTGGAAAACAAATAGTAGTAGCATACTGTTTGACAGATAGTAGTAACATACTGTCTATTTTCTTTGATAACTAGTAGTAATATATTGCTGTCATTAACAATTCAGAATATTTATTTGTGAAATTTTGTCAAAAAATAATTTTGATTTTTAGAAATTATTTCTGAGTGCTCATTAATTAAAATTATGTTTCAGTATTTTAATTATTGAAGTGTTATAGAAATTTAATTTTCTGTGTGGAATTAATTTGGTTAAATAAAATTTTATTTTATTTTCAAATTAATGGAAAAAATAAAAGTTACAATTCTTGTTTCTTTTATTCACTACAACAAAAGTAACCTATGGTGACGAAAAGTAGTGAAGAAAATAAATTTCATCACTAAATAAGAATAATTCGTGACGAATTATAAAATTTTGCCACATATAATAAAAAAATAAAAATAATAGGTGATGAAATTTATTTTCGTCAACAAACACTTCTTTTTAGGTGAGGAAAAATTAAGTTTTGTCACCGAAAGTTTTCCCGCTAATTTTTTTTGGATGGCGCCAAAATTTTGAGACTTTTGGTGAGAAAAAATTTGTCACCAATTATAAAATTATTAGTGAGGAATATATTTTCGTCACTAATAATTTTATATATATATTTTTTGAGAAACTTGATTTTAAATATTTTAAGACCATTTGGTGAGAAATATATTTTTGTTACTAATAATTTTTAATATCTTGAGACTTTTTAGTGTGGAAATTATTTTGTCACTAATTTTGGAGGGAAAATTTTGACATATTGGGCAGTAATGAAAAAAATAGAATACTAACTTTTTTTCCTTTTTTTTTATCAGTTCTCCTCTCTCTCTCTCTCACTCTCTCTCTCTTTGAACAAAACACAAGTTAATTAGCTTTTTAAGAAACCTATGGTGACGAAAAGTAGTGAAGAAATAAATTTCATCACTAAATAAGAATAATCCGTGACGAATTATAAAATTTTGCCACATATAATAAAAAAGTAAGAATATTAGGTATCAAAATTTATTTTCGTCAATAAATACTTCTTTTTAGGTGAGGAAAAATTAAATTTCGTCACTAAAGGTTTTCCTCTAATTTTTTTGGGTGGCGCAAAAATTTTGAGATTTTTGGTGAGAAAAAAATTTGTCACCATAAAATTATGAGTAAATTACAAATGCACCCCCTGAAGTTTACTTAAAATACGGATGGTCTCCTGTGGTTTGAAAAATTACAAATACCCCATTGTCAAATTTTTTTATTTATTAGAATTAACTGAAAAAATAAAATTCTTAATCACTGCCCTATATAATAATAAAATTACCTGAATTATTAATTAAAATAAAATTTTAACATCATTAAAAACTATTAATTAATTTGATGTTTTATTAATAAAAGGGTTGTTCATTATGAAATTAAAAAAACCTTAGGGGGCGGGATGTAATTTTTAGAATCACATGGGGCAATTTATATTTCAAACAAATCTCAAGGGTTGTGTTTTTAATATATCCTAAAATTATTAGTGAAAATATATATTTTCGTCACAAATAATTTTAAATATTTAAAAAAATTAATTTTAAATATTTTGAAACTATTTAATGAGAAATATATTTTCGTTGTCAATAATTTTAATATTTTAAAATTTTTGGTGAAAAAATTAATTTTGGAGGAAAACTTAGGGATATTGACAGAATGAAAAAAAGAACCCACTAATTACCCCCTCTCCCCCTTTTTTTTTGTTTTTGGGTGCTTCAGTTTTCCTTTTATTTCTTTCTTGCAAAACACTGCCTCCAGCCCCCCCTTCTCCTCCTTTAGCTTGTTCTCCTCCTTCAGCACCGCCACTGACGTCACCCGTTCTCCTCCTTCAGTGCCGCCACCGACGTCACCGCGTTCTCCTCTGAGCAATCGTCAACGCCGCCGGCGTCGCTTATT